CCTCTGCAGCCGCAACTGTAGCTGCAGCAGCTCCTGACTCCCTGTGCAGTACACTCATAATTTTGTGAGTTACGACTGCTTTGGTATATTCTCTCTCTCTCTCTCTCTCTCTCTCTCTCTCTCTCTCTCTCTCTGAAAGAATTTGGAGAACAGGGATTAAGAGTAATAATTCTTTTATGTTCCCCTCATAGGTGATTGTCACTTGATTAAATTTTTCTTTCCATTTTAGAAAATCTGAATTAGTGCATGCTCGCAGGGCAGATTGATTGCCCTCCTTGTGGGGAGCTGTCACGCTGTCACAACACGTCTCAGCGCTTCCTTCCCCCTTCTGCTCCCATGCCTCTTGATCAAATGTCATCTAATGACACTGTGTCATTCCAACTGAAGGATGCAATGAGCTCTATTCAAGGACAAACTAAATGAAAAACAGCAGTAGTATCTATTGCAAACCACAGTTTTGGCAAGGCTGCTGCCTCTGAGACCTTCAGAATTAACCTACTGGCCTGAATCACAGTGCGGCCCACTTGCAGCAGGCCCACTACACACAGCACAGTGTGGAAGGCAGGCACTGGCTCCTAACTCGTGTCCCTGCACCCACACTCCAATTGACTAACACTATCGTCCCTGGGACCCTGCAAGTCAGACTGTGTCCCTTTCCTACTCAAAATCCTCTGATCGCTGTGAGGCTGAGTTCCAGTAGGAAGCAGATGGCATAAAGTGGGTGAACTGAGAAAGTTTCTATGCAGACTATTTACCAAGGTGTGGGCAGGTGTGGGGAACCCATGGGTGGAGCACAGCACCAGAACACAGCTGGGAACTCAGGATCCCCGCCTGAACTGCAAGGTGTGAAGGGAAGGAGCGGAGAGGGAGATGGGAGCTCCACAAAGCAGAGATCTCCAAGAAGAGGTGACTTCAGCCCACAGAAAGTCTGTCCACCCAACCCTGCAGGAGGGAAGAACCACTGACCTCATCTCTCTCCCTCTTTCTCATCGCCTAGCAATCCTGCATGGCCAACTTCAACCAGCAGCACTGCAGAAGAGCCCGTCAGTGCAGGTCTACCTCCTGGGCACATCTGCACTGCAGGGAGGGAAGGGGTGCAGTACATCCTGGAGGCGAGCGGAAGCTCTCTGGCCAGTTGGCTGCCTCTCTCAGGGATAGCCTTTTTGATAATATATTATGCCTCCTGGAAGGTCCTGTGGGAGCCTGTCTCATCTCCTGTTCCCCTGTTCCATCTCCTCTTTATGCACCAAGCACTCTCCTGCCACAGGACCTTTGGATCTGCTGCTTCCTCTGCCCAGAACACTCTCCCACCACATCTAGGTGCGACCTGCTTCTCACATACCTGATTTCAGAGCAAATGTAACATCATCAGTTTTCCCCACAACCATTCCTGGGGCACCCTATCCCTTTGCCCTGCTTTACTGTTTTCCACAGCATGTCTGTCTATCTCTCTTACCCTCCCTCCCTGTTTTCGTGGTGCTATGGATTGAACCTAGGGCCTTGGGCATGCTGAACATTAACACCTACCTACACCCCATCCTTAATATATAGGTAGATAGATATAGATATAATTTTTTTTTTTAATGATTGCCTCCCTAGCTTGAACAAGTTTCCTAAAAACACCAAGTTGATCTCCTTTGTTCACAGACTGGTAATAAGTACTTAGAACAGTGCTCAGCACAGAGAAGGCACTAAGGCATGTGTGGGATGACTCAGTGGCATAGGAGGACCCACAGCAAACTGTTCTTTGCACCGTTTGTAAGGTTTAACTATTATCAAAAAATTGTCTCACAAAGTCTCATGGTAATCAGGTGGGAGCTAGGCATTTGGTTTTATTGCAATGCCACAAAACTGAGTGGTTAGTAAACCACCAAGAATAAAAGGAAGTTCTGGTCAAGACCAAAGCTAGCTAGGCTTGGTGGCACACACCTGTAATCCTAGCACTCAAAGAGGCTGAGGCAGGAGGATTACAAATTCACGCTTGGGCCAGGAAATAAAGCAAGACCCTCTAAAAATGACAGGGACTGGAGCTCAGTGTGAAGGCTTGGGGTCGACCCCCAGTGCTTCCCCCACAAAGACAAAAGTATTCTTTGTAAACAACACTTTCATACAAGTTCTTATTTCTTATCAGTGTATCATTCCAACTTCACCAACCAGTACTACTATAAATATCTATCTTCTCATATGTAAAATATGTAGGAACTAACAGATAAAATGTGTTTAGGGTTTTGGGTTTTTTGGGGTTTTTTTTCCCTGTGATAGGGAACAACTATGCAGTTCAGGCAGGCCTTCAATTCACTAATCCTCCCTGGCCTTAAAATCACTGCCATCCTCCTGCATCAGCCTTCTGAGTGCTGGGACTACAGGTGTGCACCATGATGCCTGGCTGACTGAGAGACAATGTACAGCACTAGGACCAAGTAAATGTTCACTACAATAATTATTAAAAACCTGAGGCAGCCACATTACCACCCCACTAACTGCAACAGTTCATCCTGGACTTTTAAAGAGTGAACTGCAGGGCCGGCGAGACAGCTCAGTGGACTAAAGCACCTGCTTAGGCAAGCGCAGCGACCACGGTTTGATCCCTACCCCCAGGGCAGGCTGAGCCAGCCAGCATCTGGGCATAGTGGCACATGCCTGCAATATCAGTGCTGAGGATGAAAGCAGGAGGATCACCATGAGTGTGAGCTGCATAGTGAGACCCTATCATGACCAAATACATCAAAAATAAAAATAAAAAGTGAACTGCAGTAACAACATAGTAAAGAAACATAAGATACTGTGCTTTTCTATCATGCCAACTGGCCACACTTCTAAAAGATTCTCTATAACAATCAGGACCTAGCACCCTCCTAGCACAACTGACCTACCCCTCTTCAGATCAAAATGTAGTATCCATTCTAAATTGTTCATTATTCCTACTCAGAATGTTTTTTCAACTAAGCCAGTAGGAAATTCAGCAACTTTCTTTAAAAAACAAAAAATAGGGGCCCGGGAGATAGCTCAGTCACTTGCCTGGCAAGCACAAGGCCCTGAGTTCAATCCCCAGTACCACAAATAAATAAATAAATAAATAAATAAACAAAATTAAAAAAAAACAAAAATCAAAAAACACCCTGGGATGTCGTGCCAGCCCCACCCTTGGGAACTAGGCGTGGTGGTGTGTGCCTGTAATTCCAGCACTTGGGAGGCTCAAATCAGCAGAATCACTATGAGTCTGATCCACATAGTGAGACCCTGTACACCCTATGACACTGTCTTAAATACAGGGGAAAAAAAAAAAGCAGTATACTTAAATAGTGAAGTGAAGATTAGAAAAGCTCCTAAAAACAGGCTTCTTCTATTTGCCTTTCTTAACCATGAAAATCGGAGGCAAGAGGCTAGCAAATTTAAGCCCAACCTGGGCAATTTAAGTGACTCAATGATCCTACCTCAAAATAAAACTTCAAAAAGGGCTGGGGATGCAGCTCAGTATGAAGGCCCTGGATTAAACTCCTGGTCTCCACATTAACAGAGCAACTTCTGGTTTTTTTTTCTTCCCTGGCATTCTAGCCAGACCCCTATCCGCTAGGTCAACTCCAGCAGCTGTAAGAAAAGTAATCTCCAAGGATGCAGCTGGAGGTACTTCCACGGGCAAAGGCCAGGGCAAAAGCAAAAGGCCTGACCTGGATCAGTTCAGCAATCCATCATTTGAGATCACGGCAAAGATCCTGCGGGATTTTCACCCAGGACAGATTTATATTTTGCAATCTTTTTCAAAGACTTCTGTAGGACACTCTGGTGAGTGGCTAACCTGGGGACCTAGAAGTTTCTAAGAAACATGAATCTCCTGTTAAAAGACTCCCTGTGCTACAATGTGTATGATCGTAATATATTCAAGCCCTTGTTTTTGTTAAAATTTATTTTTACAGCCACTACTACATCATAGTTACCGCTATTGGTTGTATCTAAACAGAGGCTTCCAGCTTCAGGTGTGAAAGACAAAGCAGGTCCCTCCAAGGTTAAGCCCTGAGGCTGATCTTACTTACTAAGAGATCTTATTTTAGTAAGCAACTGGATGTTTCTTTATTAGAGCTGAAAATAATCATCCTCACCACTTCTCCTAGTAACAGATGGATAAACAAATCTACAACTAACTTGGGCACAAGTCCAACTGTAGAACGAGAAGAAAAACGAAACTATAGTGCACTACTCATTCCCTCAAATGTCTCATGATGATAGGGTGGACTCTGGCCCTCGGCCTTAGTGAATGACAAGTAGTCCAAAATTCACCCTGTAAATGGTAGCGCTTTGGGGGCCGGGGAGATGGCTCAGTGGAATAAGCGCTTCCCTGGCAAGCGCAAGGGCCTGAGTTCAATCCCCAGTTCCGGAAAAAAAGAAAAGAAAAAAAAAAGGTAGTGCTCTGCACCCAGCACTGTTTGCTGCCTGCCTTCCTGCTCACCCAGACTCCCAGTCAGGGGCTGTTTTCTGTTTCTATTTCCAGCCTTTCACATTGCGTCCAACCCAGAGCTGGTCCCAAATGATTATAGACATCCCATCACAGGCAGGCCCAACCTGGCACTGTAGGTCAGAAGTTACATAGGAAATGGCCTAAGAGCAGGCTGGCTGTTGCTGTGTCCCCTCTGTCCCCGACGCAGAGCACAGCGGGGAAAGCACACCATCCGTCCCGGAACCTCCCGACGTCCCGGTAGAATGAAGCGCGCGGGCTGCTGGGGGCTCCAGGCACAGGACACGATTCTCTCCGCTGCCCGAGGCCAAATGGACCCGGGGATGACCTGTCCCCCAAGCCCAAACTGGCCACGACCCCTCCCATTCCGGCCCCCAAACGCTTCACTCGGAAGCCCCAGCCTGGGAGCACCGAGCGCGCCGGGGGGTCGCCGCGATGCACTGTGGGAGTCGTAGTTCCCCGGTGAGCTCCGCGCCGCGCGGCCCTGCGGCTGAGACTCCCGCTCCCAGAAGCCCCCGCGCAGGCGCCTCGCCCAGTCCTGCCACCTCACCTGTTCTCTGGACGTGACTGTTTCCACCGAGTCGTCCAGCAAGCGCTCCCGCGCGTGCTCCGGCCTCAGACTGTACAGCGATTCTGGCCAGACAGGGGAGGAGGATGGAGGGCAACAGTAGGTGTAGGAACCCGGAGAAGCCATGATCAGAAGAGCAGCGGACGGTATACGGGACTCCGCTTCTTCCAGCAACAGCGCGCATTGAAACTCGAGCGGGATAAGGCGCTACGGAAACTGTGTAGAGTCAAAAAGAATGTAAAGGCGAATCTCTCCTCCCACTTACACTTCTGGGAGTGAGTTACTGGTTTGTTGCCGCCCCCCGTTGGGCAGACGAGCTGCTGCAAGAGCTCAGCTTCTTGAAACACACGGAAGGATGCTTGCACCTAAATGTCATTTCCGACAGACGTCAAAGTAGGATGTCTTGGTTCGTTATGCAAAAACAAAAACAAAAACAGGTGTACCTGTGGTCTCAGTTGTAATGCAGTAGTTTGTAGTTTCAGATGGACAAGAATCAAATTAATATAACTTTAGAAACATGACAGCTCTCTTGATAACTCAGTCGTGCTCTTACTAACAGAATTATTATAAACCGTTGGCCCCCTGACAGCCTCCCAGGAAGCCAACAGCTTCAACTAAGGAGCCTGTAATGGTTGATACATTGTGTAAACTTGAGATCTAGAAGCGTAACCAAGCAACTCAGCAGTTCTCCAGCCTGGGGTGTAGCAGACTTCCCCTTACCTCTAGGATATTGTTCATTGTGTCAACTTGAGAAGTTTGGAAGTTTAAAGTGACTCAGCAGGGAGCCAGGGTCCGTCCTTTGTGAACATGCTGAGCCTGTGCAAGAAGAGGGACAGAGATGGTGTGAGTGCTACACTCACCCTGGGAGAAGAGGGCAGCCTGCTTACAGTATAAGGAAGAGATGCTTGCTCCCCCCCCCCCCCCGCTCTTACTGCTTTGCTGTCTGCCACCTTGAAATGTCACCCTTCTGCCATGCCACCCTGCTTTGGAGCCAGCTGATTATGGACTGAAACCTCCACAAACTGTGAGCTAAATGAACCTTTCCTTCCTTAGTTCTGGACATCAGGTATTTTGTCTCAGAAATAAGAGAAAAGTACCCAAGACAGGGCAGAATTGCTGTCTTACTACTTAGGGATGCAGAGAAAGGGTATTGAAATGTTCTCCTATCCCCCCTTTGTGGGGTTACGGTGCTGTAGCAGAAGCTAAAATGTGGGAGAGGAAACAGCATTAAGTGAAAATAAAAGCAAAGAAATAATGCTTTGGTCATCCAACAGGTACTTATGGAGCACTTCCTACTGTTTGTTAGCAAAGTGCTAGGCCCTGAGAATGCAAAACTGAACCAAGCAAGCAAGGTCTGAGCCCTTGGGAACTTTACACAGTAGAGGAATCGGCGGAATTAAATGAACAAGTTGGGCATGGTGGCACACATCTGTAATCCCAGCATTTGGGAAGCTGAGACAGGGGGATCACTGAGAATTCAAGGCTGTCCTGGACAACATAGTGAGTTCACGACCTGGGCTGCATAGTGAGACCCTGTTGAAAAAAGAAAACAGGAAAGAAACACAAATATATGAAGACTGATAATACAGTAATGGTATGTATGCTAGAAAATAACAGGGTTTTATGAGAGGAATAGAGGATAGGGCAGCTAATTAGATGGGGGGGGGAGTTCCTGAGCTTCTTTGAGTACATTTAAGCTGAGACTCAAAGGAAAAGGATCTTCTAAGAGAACAAAATAGGGAGGAGGTTCAAGAAGGAACAGGAAATTTGAGAGAACGAAGCAGAAATACATCCATATACTGAATTCTTGCATTAATTCTGGTGGTTACTCTGCATGTGTACTGAACAAAAGAAACATTTTTATTGAGTGGGCTTACTCATATTCCCCCAGAGATGTAATGTTGAACTAATGATTTTAGGAAAACCCTGTTACCTTTGGAAAGCAATAGAAGAGAATCTTTTTTAGCATGTACATCAAAAGGATAGCGCTGAAATGATATCAGGAGATTACATGCTTAGTATGTGTGCGTTCCAGGGTTCACTCTCTGGCACCCACACACACACACATGTGCACTCACCCCAGATGTTCTAGATAGACACAAACCGTACTTTCTGCTCAGACCATTTTACTCCCTTCCCCCTCAATGCCAACGCACATGCTAGAATCTGCGGAACATAGGCCTGTGTGGTACAGGCCCACGTGATGTAGGCCCATGTGATATTTTACAGCTGGCCATCCCTCTCTTTCAATCTCTGGTGGTAAATGCAGTCCAAAGAGGAGACTGGGCAGCCTAAAGCTTGTGTGTGGGTGGACACCATCCCATGTCCATGTTGACGGTAGTGCTGCCCAGGTGAGACCTCTGGCAAGAGAATGTTACCAAATCTGGAAGTAAGTAGGACTGTGGGTTCTAGGATTGTGGATCAGCTATTCATCATAAAGAACGCCTCATAATGTCTCGGTCCTGTTTAAGGACTCAGTCTTTTTTTAAAAGAGGTTTTATGTTCAGAGCTCGAAGCTCTGCTACTGTAGCTATCCAGTAGCCTGTGCTGTGTTTGCCAGACTCAGCGTATATGTTTGTCTTTGCTCTCACCCCTCTTTTTCTATTTACTTGGCCCAAGCTCATTCTGCAGAGCCAGTTTCTCTCCCACTCTTCACTTTTACTTTCTCAAATAAACTGCCACTGATAAAATAACACCACCCTCAAAACTTGTCTTAGGGGCTGGGGAGATGGCTCAGTGGAGTAAGCATTTCCCTGGCAAGCACAAGGACCTGAATTCAATCCCCAGTTCCACAAAAAAAGAAAAAAAAAAAAAAAAAACATGTCCTAGTTACTTATCTGTCATGGCTGAAACAAAATACCCAACACCCAAAGTATAAAAGAGGAAAAGTTTATTCAGCTCAGTTTGCAGAGGTTTCAGTCCACAATTGGCTGGCTGCAAGGGAGGGTGGCGCGGCAGAGGGACAACCATTCATGGTGGAAGAAGACACCAAAAGCAACAAGACATGGGGCTGGGGAGATGGCTCAATAGAATAAGCACTTGTCTGGCAAGTGCAAAGGTCTGAGTTCAATCCCCGGTTCCGCAAAAAAAAAAAAAGCAACAAGACAGGAGAAAGACCCTTTCTGTCCCTTATACTATCTGCAGTCCACCTGCCCAAGGGGGTGTAGCACATACCTTCTTATTCCCACCATTAGATCTGGAATCAATCACAAACTCCGAAAAAGCCCAAGACTGCATGAGGTTTTGGGGAGACATCCAGACACAAACTGTGACAAAGCTTAACATTTCAATCCTAAGAATCGGGCTGCTGAAATGATAGCTGCAGTGATTTTGTAACAGACTGTCGTTAGATGTCACAGGTACACCTGAAGCAGTTGCAAATTATATTTTGCCAATAGAAATTCATTCTGAAATGCACTGTCGTCTGCAGGGAGACCCAAAAGGTGTTCAAGGGAGCCTGGCAAGCCTCTCCTGGAAGATAGAGTTTCCTTGATAAATTATTGAGTCCCAGTTATGGGCCGGGCCGTGGCTAAGTGCTAAGGGGACTGGTGCAAGTCACAGTCTCTGTCTGTGTGTGTCTCATTTACCAGAAGAAGCAGACTTCAGGTGATAATTTTAGCATTGGCTGTTCCCTTACAGTTGGGGGAAAATGCTACAAGGCAGAAAGCAGCACGGAGTAAGACCCAAGGTCCTCTGGAAGAGCTGGAGAGACTGATGTGGACACAAGTTAACTAACCAGGGCAGGGAACAGCCAGGCGGAGGAAGCCTGCTGATGACCAAAAATCTAGTGCGACCAGTAGCAAGGATCAGGAGCCAGCACCCTGCGTCAGCGTCCATGAGATTGTTCAGCCTTGGACCTGCCACTTGTCCTTCCTGTAGAGGGCTTTATTAACCACTCATTCGAGAAACAGAATGAACATCGGTATTGGCAACACTGCGGAAAACGATGTGCTTCCTGGGAAGGGAGGTCTTAGTCATAATTAATGCCAGCTGCAGCTTGGACTGAAGATGGCTTGGGTTTACTCTACTCTAAAAGTCTGATACTATTTTTCTAAATTAAACTGTGAATCATATTCCTTTAAAAATAATACAAGATGTGGACAGTGCTAGTTAGTACTTCCAATAGCAAGAGAACAAGGACAAACAGTGTGCTAAAGGAACCACCAGAGGTCGCTTCTGCCCCTGCAGCAAGCCCAGGGAGCTCCCTCAGAGACTGTTCTGGAATCCCTCACACAGGCCCTATGCAGGAACCAAGTGTTTCTTTTAATATCTTATAAAACTATGTAGTAATACAAACTGGAACACTGGGAAAAAGGAAAGGGCTTATCTATCCTCCTATTACGTAATTAATTCCCTCCCCCATCTACTCTCCTGTCATCTTTTATGCCCCTTCATGCTGAGGCCTTGTCCTTGTCCCCCACCCAGGGAATAACTGGTCCAGCTCCTGCCTCAGCCCAGCCCTTCTGGCTCACCTAATGCTCCACCCAAAGTTCAGACATGCTACTTTGCCATTCTCGGATGGGATTTTTCTTTTAGAAAAATAGGGATAGGGTCTCACTATGTTACCCAGGCTGCCTCAAATTGCTGGGCTCAAATAATACTCCTGCTCCAGCCTCTGGTATAGCTTGGGACAGATTACAGGTGTGTGACAGAGCCCAGTATGTGTGTTGGGGGGAGGGGACGGGTGCATTCAGTTCCACTCCTCTGGCTACCCCTACACTCTCACTTGCTTTCAGAGCAAGTGTCCCTGAAAGAGTTATGAATGTCTGCAGTTGCCCCCACCCCCCAGCTCTCCCTTGAGCCCACGCTGCTCTGGCTTCCCAGTTGTGTTCATTTGGCTCACGTTGCTGAACCCAAGGCCTATGCCCAGTCCTCATCCGCAGTCTTCTCATTTGACTTCCCAGCAGCACTTGCGTGGCTGGCCACTCTTTCCTGAATGCTTTCTTGCAGGGCCACGCTGGTTTTTCTCTGTTTCCTCGCCAATGGAATACCACAGGATCCGGTGCTCAGCTGCCGCTGTCCACACTCACTGGCCTACAAGCTCAGGCAGTCCCAGTGTTTTAAATATCACCAGCAAGCGGAACACTCCCTAATTTGTATCTCCAAACTGCAGAGTTTGCATCTCATACCTATGTTGATTTCCACTGGGATAGTGAATAGGCATTTCAAATCTAACACATCCTCTACAGAGCTGCCAGATTGCCTTTAAACCTGTCTACTCATGCCCTCCCCATCTCCTGTAGGGTAGCTCCATCCTTCTGGTTACCCCACAAACTGCCGCCTGGAGCTGTTATCAGCGCCTCCCTTTCTCTTACAGCACATACATCTGCATCTGAGCATGGCTGAGCAATTCCACCACTGCCATCCTGGTCCAAGCCGCCACTATCAGGTGTGAGATTCTTACTCTAATCCACCCCGTGTCCTGTTTCTACGCTTGTCCCTCAAACCCAAAGTCAGATGAATAGACTCAGTGTTTGTGTTGCCACCAAATCCATATGTTAAAACTTAATCCTTAAGCCAGATGTGGTGGAACCTGCCTGTAACCCCAGCACTGGGGAGGCTGAGGCAGGAGGATCATTGTGAGTTTGAGGCCAGCCTGGGCTACAAAGTAAGCTCAAGGTCAGCATGAACTGCATACTGAGACCTTGTCTCAAAAACATAAACAAAAAACTAATTCTCAACATGCAGGTGTAGGAGGTACAGCCTTTGGTAGGCTATTTGATTCTAAGGGTGGAGCCCCTTGCGTGAGACTAGTGCCCTTTTATTCTTTTT